ATAACCATTTAAATTAAATAATCATTTTCACTCCACAAATACATACTTATGTATTCAATTTTCCTTCCTTCATTATTTGAGAAGGTTTTTTTAAAATAAAATTATCATTTTATTTTTACTTCTAAATATTTAAGTATAAAGCATATATAGTATATATATATATATATATGTGTGTGTGTATGTGTGTGTGTGTGTATATATATATATATATAGAGAGAGAGAGAGAGAGAGAGAGTAATTATATATATATATATATGTGTGTGTGTATGTGTGTGTGTGTGTATATATATATATAGAGAGAGAGAGAGAGAGAGAGAGTAATTATTTCTCTTGTAATTATTGTATCCCAATTATTTCTAATCCTTTTTAAATTCTCTATTGTAATTATTTTTCATCCATTTTATATATATGTGTGTGTGTCTGTGTGTGTGTGTGCATGTGTGTGTGTATAGATTTTTGGACAGTGTTCCTAAGTTGTCCATTTCAAGCTCCTTCAAAGATCTGTCTTTTCTGCTCTTGAGAAGTGTTTTGTTTTGTTTTGTTTTGTTTTGTTTAAGAGGTTTTGGTTATAGGGCGTGTGCACTCACCAGAAAGACAGAGATACAGAAAGTGAGAAATCACCCCCCAGCGGGGATGGCCACACCGCAATCCCTTCTCCTCCATTCTCCTCGTGGGATACTGGGTATGCACGCACACATTCCTGGCATGAGTTTTAAGCCACCAGGTCTGGGACTTGAACCATGGTCGACTACATGGGAATCCAGTGACATAGCCATTATGCTAACACTGGTCCCTGTTCTTGAAAATTTTTAACACTTATTTTATGTTATTTCACTTCTTGATTTTATCTTAATATTTATGATTTCCAATTTTATTTGAATTAATTCATTTCCTTTAAATTAATGTTAAAATGATGAATTAATATCTTAACATAATATTATGAATTATTTCATAGAGATGCTAGCATAATCACTTTTTTGTTAGATAAATATATTAAGGATACAAATAGCCACTAAGTCCCTCTATGATTGTGTCCCACAAATTTTAAAATTATGCTTTGTTGTCATTCAGTCTTAAATGTTTTATAACATTTGTATGTTTTCTTATTTGTTCTATGAATTACTTAGAATAATATATTCAATTTTCAAATATAAATTTATATTGCAATTGTCTTTTTAAAAGTTTTGCCAGAGAGTGTGTGCACTCATCAGAGAGAGACGGAGAGATAGAGAGAGACAGGGAGAGGGAAAAACACCCCCCGAATAGGTCATGGCCACTCTACCATTTCTTCTCCGTTTCTCCATCGTGTCAGGGTTTGGGGCACGCATATACTCACATATGCATTGAGCTTAGTTTTCAAGCTGCCAAGGCCAGGATTCAAACCATGCAGTTGGCCATATGGGATTTGGCTCCTTCAACTATCAGGTTGTGGGGCTTGCCCTCAATTACCTTTTTAAATTTGACTTTTATTTAATTGTGAGTAAATTTTTTTTTTATTGTGAGTAAAACTGTGATATGCAAAATATAAATCTGGTTGAGGCTTGCTTTACGGCCAGTAATGTGGCAATTTTGTAAATGATTTCATGTATAGTTGATAAAATGAGTTTTTTCTTGGTATATGGTTTTATGTACTTCCGTACAAGACATCCCTATTCAGTTCTCCTGCCCCAGCCCCTGGACACCAACCTTGTCATTACATAAGGTAGTGGACCCAAGGAGAAGAACGAAATGGACACCGAGAAGCTGAGAAAAAATGCACTGGGTTCTAAAACCTGGAAGATACATTTTCCTGGACCAGTTCACTGCTTAAAGAAATGAGTCTGTGGCTCAGAGCTACAGGTAAACAGCTAAGCTTCATGAACTACAGGTGTGCATACTGTTCCTTAGGGTCCAGAATTTAAATTCATACCACTGAAGAGTTTTTAAAGGCTTTCACACATTATTTTGTTTTGTATGCAAATAAGGGCTGCTAATTTCAAATGAGTCTTAACTATGTATTTAAGGAGTCCCAAAGGATCTGTACTTGAAAACAATTTGCTAGCAGTTATTTCAAACACTAGACACACTCAGAAAATAATAAACTGTATGTTTAAATGAATTCAGTAACTTGAGTTACCACTTCCAACAAATCTCTGTAATTAATCTGAGTCAGGGTGTTTATCGCCATTGCAGATTTCATATCCTTTTTTTTTTTTAAGTTTATGTCTTCCATAAGTGAGAGAGAAAAGAGAAAGTCAGCACTCTCAACCTGGTTCTGATGCTGAATCCACACCGAATAGTCCACCAGCCCCAGGTCATGAGCAAGCCTGTGCACAGAACACTCAGGGAGGTCTCTGAACTTGAACCTGAAATCCTCCCATGTGCCAATGATTTATAGACATATCATTTTACCATTGTGTCACCAACTGACTCCCTAATTTTCTTTTCTTTTCTTTTCTTTTTTTTTTTTTTTTTGGAGAGATTTTCACTCTAGGGTGTGTGTGCTCGCCAGACAGACAGACAGAGACATAGAGACAGAAAGCGAGAAATCACCCCCCAGGGGTGGGGTGGTGGTCACCTGCAGTCCCTTCTCCTCCATTCTCCTCTAGGGATCTTGGGTATGCACGTACACGCGCCCGGCATGAGTTTTAAGCCACCGGGTCCAGGACGCAAACCACGGTCAACTACGTGGGAGTCCAGCGACATAGCCATTACGCTAACTGCTGGTTCCCACTCCCTAATTTTTTTTTAAGGTTTTTGTCATTGGGCATGAATACTCACAAGATAAACACAGAGAAGAAAAAAGAGGGAAAAAGTGAATAATCATCTCCCAGGGAGGATGGCCACACCATGATCCCTTCTTTTCCATTTTCCTTTTGGGATTTGGGGCATGCATGCACATATGCCTGAGTGATTTTCAAACCACCAGGTCCAGGACTCAAATGACGGTTAGCCATATGGGAGTCCAACACCTGAACCACTGTGCCACCTGCTGCTGATCCCCAATAATTGTTTTTGTTTTACACAGTTTTAATATTTCTTTTTAGAATTTTTTAATATAATTTTATTACTCATCATCATTATATATATATTTTTTATTTGACCAAAGAGAAACACACACACAAACACACAGAGACAGAGAGAGGTAAAGTGACAAAGAAAGCCACCCAGTCCAGGGCTTGAGCTATAGTCAGCCATATGGGACTCCAGTGCCTTAACCATGCACCACCTGCCATCCCCAACAATTTTAAGATTTTAAATGGAAAATGAAAATAACTTAGACATTGGTACACAAATAGAATATTACATCTGTTGGCCTCCTGGCACATCTTCATTAATTAATGGAAGAGTAGAAATAATGAATGATGTAAAAATTTCTGAAGTTAAATATAGATGGCTTCCTGACTATACATACTTAATGAGATAAATGGAAAAAATGTTACTTATAAATTTTTTTAAAAAAGAGAGACAGTCAGTGGTTAAGGAAGCTGGATCCAACATGGCTGACTGCACAGTCTATGTCCCAGACCCAGTCACTTGAAAAACACAGTAGGCATGTGTAGGTAAATGCCCTAGATCCTGAAAGAAGGAAGAGATGGAAGAGAGGAAATTGTTGAAAGTACTTTCTCACTTTCCCTCTCTTTCTGCTCTCTCTTTGTGAGCACACGCACCCTCTAGTAGAAAATACTTTTTAAAAATATGAGGTGTTATGGTAAAAATACAATGGTAAATCTTCCGCGAGGACACTGACTATATACTGTGTATATGAGTGGAGTCACTTCCTGCTCTCATACAGAATCATGATGTATTTTGGTGAAATTATTTCACTTGGGTGTCAGTTTTCTCATTGTTATAACACAAATATTAAAAAAATACTTACCAATCAGAATTAAAATGATTTAGGTGAAAAGTTTGTTTACTGGTGTATTCATGGCGAAGAAGCATGGTAACTTCCAACCTAAACATTCAGCATTTTACATAATGGAAGGTTATTTCTTGCTCATGCTGTGATTTGATTACTAGGAGGCTGGTTCCTCCTCTATATATTCATTCAGGGACCTAGTTCCTTCCAACTAGCAGCTATTTTCATGGGCACAGGTACTCAAATATTAATATTCATTTGAGTCATCTAGAAGGCTTATCTGATCCAGCAAGTATGGAATGGGACCCAGGAATTTGCCTTACTAAGTTCCTGGTTAATGCTGTTGAGGATTTGGTGGCCACAATTCTGAGGCTTCATGTTTTTACTGTTATAAATTGCTACACTTCTATAGTCTTCCAAATTCATCCACCAAACAAGTAGCCAAAGATAAAGACCACATAGTGGATTTGAGGGATGCATTATGGAACAGTCTTACAGTAGCTGATGGGGGCTAGTAGGAGGCTCGGTAGTTGAGGTTCTAGACTCCCACATGGCTGACTATGGTTCGAGTCCCAGACCGAGCACCTTGAAACTTATACCAGGTCCGTGTGTGTGTGTGTGTGCCCAAAGATATGAAGAGGAGAATGAAGGAAAAGGAATTGCAGCTTGGCCATCCCCACAGTGGGTGATGTCTCGCTTTCTGTCTCTCTGTCTCTGTCTCTCCAGCGAGCACATGTGCCCTATAGCAAAAATCTCTAAAATAAATAAATAAATAGAAAAAGAAGTTGCTGATGTCATTTCTGCCCACATTCTATTTGCCAGAAGTTATCATATGACATCTACTTAGAAGCACAGAAGGCTGCAACTAATGTTATGAAATTGAAGACAGTAATGGGCCAGGACCAGCCACTCACCATTTGAAAAGCCAAATTCTGACCCTAGTCTGCACCTCGTTTGGTTCAGTAACACTAGCGGGATGCCATGGGAGGAGAGAAACTCACAAATATTAGTATTAGCAGACTCAGTCATCACTGGTAGGTATACAGCATTAAATGATTTATAATGATAATACCACATTAAGGTTTCCTTTAAGATTGATATAATCAGGAAGAAAATCAGAGTGCTCTCTCATTGTCATTACGATTGATTTACCATTGTTTTCATTTCAGCATCATGTGTACGAAAACTGATAAGATACAGAGAAGATAAGCATGGCCCCTGCTCAAGGATGACACACAAATTTATGAACTGTTCCATGCTTTTTGTATTTCAAAAAGAAAAAAGAAAAGAGAACCAGCAGTTAGCATAATGGTTATGTCACTGGACTCCCACGTAGTCAACCACAGTTCACGTCCCGGACCCAGTGACTTGGAACTCACGCCAGGCACATGTGCGTGCGTGCCCAAGATCCTGAGAGGAAGAGAAGGGATTGTGATGTGACCATCCCCCTGGGGGGGTGATTTCTCACTTTCTGTCTCTGTATCTCTCTCTGTCTGTCTGGCGACCACCCCCTAAAGCAAAAAACACTCCAAAAAAAAAAAAAAAAAAAAAAAAAAGAAAAAAGAAAAGAAAAACCAGTAGAGTAAAAAATTTAAGATATGCATTATAACATGGTGTGGTTTGTTGAGAACAATGATTACACACTGCATGCATGCTTTGAAAAATCCATATTGTACCCCATAAAGATGTACAGCAATTAAATATAAATAAGAAATTGTAAAATGAATTGTAAAAGGAATCTATTTATCATCCATTAGATGGGGAAAGAAATGAGAAAGCCATTGACTCCCCCAGGAAGCACAATGATAAAATTGTCAACTGCAAGGCCAATTGAAAAGATTTCGTGAACTGAAAACATTTTTAAAAGAAAAGCACGACAAAGAAATTGTACTTTCCGTGTCAATGAAAACATGGTCCAAATCAAGTTCAGCATTTTCCTCATGTGCCTTTCATGACAGAGAGATCCATGTGTGAAATTAAACAGCATGTGTCATGTTCTTGAGGGTGTTTTTTTTTCTTTTTTTGATGAGTTGTATTTTTCTAAGCGTAATCTGAGCAGTTTCAACTAAGTTTTCACCATTCCATTTATAACTTTTCCTGTATTTATTTAATCGGAAATGTATTATCCTTCATGTCAGAGTGCCAAGAAATCTGGTTAGTAAAAATGCCAGATTCTTTTATTTGATTTTATTTGATTTCATTAGGGACCATCAGCATAGCTGCTTAAGTGCCCGACTACCGTTTGCAGTTAAACATTCATTAAGGAATCCCCAGTGGGTTCATTTGTTTCACTGAGGTCCAATTACAATGCCACAAAAGCAGTTTTTGTAGCAATTAGTTGATTTTTCCTGTTTATGTTCTGTCTCTTTAGAAGGAGGACTAGCTTCTGGAGGTCAGATTTTTAATTAGGCACGATTTAGGGCCAATAAGAAAACTGATAATTTACTAAATGGCTTTAGTAGACTTAACAGCTCAAAGCAGAGGTAAATAATGCAACGGGGACCCCAGGACTCGGTGCTCCCGGTGTGCACAGCTCAGGGCCCTACAACGGAAGGTATAGATTATGTGTTAAGTGGTTGTCATCGATGCTAACATGCTGTGCACGCATGCCACCACTGTCCTAACCTCAAGTGCTGTCAGGATTTGTCATTGGTAGTTCTGTTCCTGGTAGCATGTCATGAAAGAAAGGCATTCACTTGTAGTTCTTTCCCCAAAGTTGGTTTGGGGAAGGGATATTTGGTAAAATAGTGTAAGAATATCGAACTTTCCAAAAGTCTGAGGGATAGTCTATCAAGTAACACCAAATTTGACACTAGCGGTGAGGTTAAAATTGCAAGCATTCTACGTAGAATATTATGGGTTGAATCGTGTTCCCCGAATTTGTGTATGTTAAAGTCCTAAGCCCAGTAGCTCAGAAAGTAACTACATTTGGAGTGTTGAAAGAAGTAATTAGATGAAATGAACTCATTCAAATGGGAAGGACCTAATTCAATATCACTTATATCCTTATTAAAAGAGGAGATTAGGACATAGACCCAGAGGAAGGAACATGTGAGGATGGAGGAGAAGATGGCCACCTCCGAACTAAGGAGAGAGACCTCCAGAGAAACCAACCTCGATCTTGGACATTTAGCATCTAGAACTAGGAGAAAATAAATTTCTTTTATTAAAGACCCTCAGGTTGTGGGGTTTTGTTAAAGCAGCCCAGTAAACCAATGTATGGACCAAACAGATTAATTTGACTAATTGTGTTTAAACAGTAAATATCGCGATTCCATAAATTCTCATTAGCATCCCAAGTCTATGGCATCATGGATAGTTCTAACAGAAGACAAAATACATTGCACCCAGGTTTCGGTATCCAGTCATGTAAGCAAGAGCAGGAGGGTATTCTCTCAAAATACAAGTCAATTTAGAATGATTCCTTCTGTGACCCATAGCAAATCAACCATGTCACAGAACATATGCAAAAAAGATAAGCATGGCCCCTGCACAAGGTTGACATGCAAATTCGTGAAGTGTTCCCTGTTTTTTATATCTCAAAAAAAAAAAAAAAAAAAGAAAAGGGTGGGACCAGCAGATGGTGTAATGGTTATGTTGCTGGACTCCCACGTAGTCAACCGCAGTTTGAACCCTGGACCCGGCAGCTTAAAACACAAGCCAGGAATATGTGCTTGCTTGCCCCAAAATCTCAAGAGGAGAGTGAAGGAAGAGGGCCGTGGTGTGGTCACCCCCCACCCCGCTTTCTGTCTCTCTGTATCTCTCTACAGCTCCAGCGAGTGTGCATGCCCTATAGCAAAAATCTCTCTAAAAATATTTTTAAAAAAGAAAAGAAAAACAAGTAGAGCCAAAACTAAAGATACATACCACAATGTGTTAAAGTTTTGGAAAATTAAGGAAGAGAAAATAAATTTAAAAATATAGAAACAATTGGAAGACTTACGCATGAAATTTTCTTAAACACGTATGCTTATCAAAATAAAAACAGGAAATGCTATCAGTGATACATTTATTAAATTAGTGAAATTCATTTTTTTGGTTCTTTTGTTTATTTGTTTTTGCCATAGCATGTGTGTGCTCACCAGAGACAGAGACAGAAAGAGGGAAAGTGAGAAATCACCCCGTAGGGGGTATGGTCATGCCACAATGTCTTCTCTTCCATTCTCCTTTTGGGACTTTGGGCATGCACACACATACTCCCAATGTGATTTCTCAAGCTGCCAGGTCTGGGACTCAAACTGCAGTTGGTCATCTGAGAATCCCGCTCTTTAGCCACCATGCCATTTGCCGGTCCAGTGAAACACATTTTTGTTTACCTACACTTTTATTATCATTTCAAGAAGATACTTGTGATTGGTTTTGATTTCTCAAAATAAAATACCTTTTAAAGGATTCTTTTTCAGTGTCTGGAAATTTATCAAATTTATTATTTGGCATTTTGGATTCTTGTTCCCAATTTCTTGGTCCTGATACAAAGAGTAACTTTGACCTTTGAGATATTTTGGAGAACTTTAATTTACTGGTCACAGCTGAGTATTTCATTCTCAAATTGTTTCAGGCTCTGGTAGCCCCATGCTGGAGCTCACCCTGACAATATCTCTAACACTTACCTCAATCTGCCACCGCTTTTCTTTTTTTAAAGAATATTTATTTATTTAATTCCATTTGTTCCTATTATTATTATTATTTTTAATTTTACCAGAGAGAGACAGAGAAAGAGAGAGAAACGGAAAGTGAGAAAACAAGCCTCCAGGTCGAGGACTCGAACTGTAGTCAGCCATGTGGGAATCCAGAGCCTCTAACCATCATGCCACCTGCCGATCCCAGTCCACCTTATTCATAGACTGTATTAGGGATCTTCAAAAACTTAATGGAAAATATATATGATGAAAAACTATGTATGAATTTTGAAATTGGTTCAGACCAAAATAAATGTGGACTGTAATTAATTTTTTTCATGAACTTTTTATAATCCCCTGATACTTAGTGTTTTCCTTAGACTCATCACAAACAAAACAAAATGATTCTTAAAGAGTTCTGCTTCTACCACACCCTTCTTAGTACCTCCCTTTTCTTACTTATTAAAAAAAAGTCCTCCTTTTACTCCAACACCAGATGTGACATAATTCTTGGATACCAACATGGAAATCTGTACAGAGGAATTGGTACATAACATTAATTCTCTCATGCTGGAATTCTGCTAAGACTACATAGTGTGTGTCTCCATCTCTTTCTCTCCATTCCTAATGACGAAGAGTCTCACAAACTCATTTACAGCCTTTTAGGAATTCTGCTAAGACTACATAGTGTGTGTCTCTTTCTCTCCATTCCTAATGACGAAGAGCCTCAAACTCATTTACAGCCTTTTAGTTATTCCTTCTTCTTCTTCTTTTTTGGTTTATTGCCAGAGAGTACCTGTGCTTGAGAGAAAAAGCACTCCCCAATGAGGCATGGTTATGCTGTCATCCTTTCTCCTTCATTTCTCCAGCTCATCAGGATTTGGGTCATATGCACATATGCTCCCAGGGTGTTTTTCCAAACCTCCACATTCAGGACTCAAACCACGGTTGGCCACAGGCAATCTGGCTTTCTGTATATAGTACTTAATTACTGAGCTATGGAGCCAACCTGACTAAGCAGTCTCTTAAAGAAACAAAGTTTAAGGACCAGCAGATGATGTAATGGTTACATCGCTGGACTCCCACATAGTTGATCATGATTTGAGTCCCAGACCTGGTGGCTTCAAACTCATGCTGGGCTTGTGTGTATGTGCCCAGAAATCCTGAGAGGAGAAGGGATTGCAGCTTGACCATCCCCATAGGGGGCGATTTCTCACTTTCTGTCTCTCTGTCTCTCTAGTGAGCACACACACCCTATAGCAAAAATCTCAAAAAAAAAAAAAATTTATCTATTTAATTTTTCCATGAGAGAGACAGCGGAAAAAACAGGCATCCCCCAACACAGTCTTTATGCTGCAATCTGCCCCAACCTCAGCCAGTCGTGTTCATGGATACACGCATGGCAACCATGTACAGGAAGACCTGGGGGTGGGAACTGGGGCTGCCCCAGGTGGATCAGCATCACAGCTGCCCCTATGGTTTTTAACGGGTTTCCTAAGCATAGAAACTCTGGGCTAGTCCACAGCTTATCTGGTATCTGGAAAGACGCATTGGAGAAGGGACTGCTGTGACCATGCCCTATGGAGGATGCTTTCCACTCTCTCTCTCTCTCTGTCTTCTATCTATATCCAATGAGGTCAGATG